TTTTTTTTTTGCCAGTAACATACACATGACATCCAAACTGGAGGCCAGTGTTCTGTGTCTCTCAATTTTATCCCATAGGATTCATTAGAAGTTAGAAATTCAAGAAGGGGAGAACAAGAGCCACAAATATGCCCTGAAACCAGGCTTAACAAAGGCATGATTCTATCTCTAGCCTTATGTTGTCAATTTAGAGATGGGGAAATCTAGAAACCAAATGCAACCCTAATTCCTCAAGCCTCATCATGCTTTTTGACTTAACAGTAATTAATCACCAATGGCAAGCGAGTAATTTTTTAAGGTGGCCAGAGGCTTATTTTATCAGGATTAGCTAATAAATCAGGCTGCATCACTGAAGAAGGAGTTTAAACTCTTCTAGGACTGAATAAACCAGACTTTGGAAACTATCTTATTTATTCAGCTCTCTGAGAGCTTCCAAGAACTGTTAGGGACATTGTGGCCCAACCTCAATTAAAAAAAAATCAGAAGGATGGAGAGGTAGGAAGTTTCACTGAGAAAAATATATGCTTGGGCTCCGAAGGGTGAGCTGCGACAACGAGGAATCCAGTATGCCGGAGCCACCGGGCCTGCTTGCCACTGACTGAGACAGTTTAGGGGAGAAATTGTTTAGAAAATGAAGTTTTGTTTGTTCTAGGAATTCTGGTCAGAGGGACACATATGTAATACACGTATTATCTATATATATTATATAGATATAATCATAACCTTCTCTACCTCCCTAATGTAAATGATGAAAATTCTACTTCTTTGCTATTATATGAGAGAGTTCAAATTACATCAGAAACAAAGTGATGATATCAGGGATTGTAGAAAAGAAACCAAGGAATATCGTTAAAGTTTATCTTCATTTGAAATGAAGAAGCAAGTAAAGTGCTTTAATCCAGATTCCATGTGAAGCCCAGCTCCTCACAACTGTCTTTTGCCTTTAGTGGGTTCTAATTTTTTTAACTTTAAAATGTTAAATCACCACAAAAACTGATCATTAAGATGGGCAAAAGACTTCCCTACCTATGCTTCCAAAATTTTTATTATTACTATTTTTAAAAATGAGGACATTCAGAATAACAAAGGTTTGATACAAACCTTGATTAGCTTCTAGGAAGCTTGACTGGAAGGGGAAAAACTACAAAGATATGGTTGACTTGAGAGGGAAGGGGGAAAAAGAAAGTGTTTTCTTTTTTTCTTCGAATATCATTTTGAAGGCTTCCTCCCCATTCCACCTTTCCAGTCTCTCTTTTGAACAGACAGACATTTTCTCCATATTGGATAAAGGTTGGTTTCTCTCTCCATTACAGCCCCCACCCTCACCCCACCCCAACAAATCCAGTATATTTCCATTCTGCTGTGTTTTTGTGCTACTCAACATGCCATTAACTTTAAGATTTACTCCTCAGCAGGCAAGCTGGAAGATGCTAAAGCCAATAAAAACTGCTCTCTGGGACTCCAACTATGAAGAGTTTGGAGCTCTGTTTAGTATTCGAACGAAGGGAGGGCTGGAGAAAGAGGGTGGTTGTGATAGTGAAAATCGCTGCTGCTTAGAGAGCCAGACAGCTCCGCGCTCTGCACCTAATGTGCTGGAGGATCAGCTGTGTCCATAGCTCATTTGTGGCCAAGGATGAGGCTGCTCTCTATGTGGGGGTGGGTGTGCGTGTGTGTTTTCATCTTTAAAACCACCAGCTGTAACAGCATCTTCGGCGGCTCTCCACACTACTGTTTATTAAAAACGGAACATCCATACACATCCCCTACAACTTCCTTAGCCCCGTGCTCCTTCCCTGTCTGGCGATCAATCTCTCTCAGAAAGCATTTAACTTGCCCACAAAGCTCCAGCACCGATTTATCCCCGCTGCACAGCCTATACATTACTGTTAGGAAGCGGAGCACTGGGCTAATTTCGTCACCCACCAGCCACCCACACACATTCTACAACTGAACACGTTTGGGGCTCTGCTTTAAAGATAATAAAACAAGGAGAAAACAGCCAGGCTGCAGACAATTCCCATGACCACTTTCCTAAAAAGTTGCTGGGTTTTAATTCTTTGATTATTCTGTCTCCCCCTCCCCCAAGCACTCACTGGCAATGATCTCTTCAAGGGAGAAATAATGTACTATAAAGCTCTCTGCATGGTGAGTTTGGGATAAATTAGGGTACACCTTTCAAAACGCCAATCTTGCACACACATATTTTTTCCCCAAAGCCCCGCTTTCCTGGGAAGGGGACTATCCAGGCTTGCCAGACCCTCCACTCCACCCAGGGGGCTGGCTGGTTCCTTGCTAATTCTTGCCTTAGGTTTTATCACTGGTTCCTTCAAACATCCACCTCCCACCCCAACACACACCACCACTCACACCACAATCAGATTATTGAGGCACACAGCTCGACAGGGAGAGTTTACCGTTACATTTAAATAAAAATATCTCTTCGAATTTGTCACCTCTCTCCCTTTTAGACGGCTGCGCTCCTGCTACTCTGGCCGGGAGCAAAGGATGAGGAGACCGTCTCCCTTAGTATTTTCAGCACCACGGCGATGGACAGCACCCCAGGTCCCCGGCCGGCCAGGCGCCCGCGAGTCAGTCTGTTCAGCGTCCTGGGCTCGACCGGTGCAGCCTTCCCCAACCCAATCTGTCAAGTCGCTGTACCCAAAAACCCAAGCCTCATCTCCTCCTCGATCCCCTCTCTCTTTCTCTTCATCGGCGCCCGCTGCTTTCTCCACAGCCTCGTTCCTATCAGCACCTCGCCCAAAACCCAGCCTTGCCCCAGCGAACAGCTCCCCACGCACCCCAGCTCTGGTCTCCGCTGCCCGAGCGCCTCCCTCTACGGCGCCCGCCCGAGGCTTCCTCTCGCTCGGTCCGCCGCTAGTCTGTCGCCAGCCGGCCAGTCGGCCAGCCGCCCGCTCCTGCTCCCCAGCAAAGTTGGGAGGGAAAGGTGCACTCACCTTTGTGCATGCCTGTGAACCTGTCCTTCAGAACCGTAAGCTCGTAGATTTTTCCAAACTCCTCGAAGAGGGGCTTGAGGTCCTTCTCATCCAGGTTGCGGGGGATCTGCCCAATGAACAGCTTGATGGCATCGTGGTCCTTCATGGGAATGGTCGACGGGTTCCCCGGGCTGTGGCTTAATCCGTTCATGTGCCCGGCACTGCCCGGGCTGCTGCCGAGCCCGTTGGTACTGAGGCTCGCGTTGTCAGCCTGTCCGTTTGCTAACGTGGCCATCTTTATATACATAGAGAAAATCTTCTTTCCTTTTATTCTTTCTCGCTCGCACTCTCTCGCTCCTCTCGCTCGCTCGCTCGCTCGCTCGCGCTCACACACGCACACGCATACACACACTCGGGTTCTCTCCCCCTCGGTTTCTCTACACCTCGCTCTCCGCTCGCTCTCTGCTCTCTCTCTTTCTCCTCTTCTCTCGCTCGCTCGCGCTCGCGCTCTCTCTCTGCTCTCCCCCCCTCCCTTCCTCTCTCTCTCTCTCTCTCTCCTCTCTCGGTCTGATCTGATTTTTTTTTTTTTTTTTTTTTTTTTTTTTTTTTTTTTTTTTTTTTTTTTTTAGGATCTCTGTCCTTTCCGTTTAAACAGGCTGGACCAGTTCAAGTTCCCAGCCAGACCAGGGGTGGGGGCGGCGAGTGTGCGCGCGCGGAGGAGGGCGCGGGGGGCCGGGAATGGGCGCGCTGTGGGGGCCCGCGCCGCGGCGGGCGGCGGCCGGGGGCAGGGCGGCGTGGGGCGGCGCCGGCCCCACCGCGCCTCCCCCGTCGGCGGCCCCGCGCGGTGGCGGTGGTACAGTCCGAGACGGCCCCCGGCTATAAATAGCGCCAGGCGCATGGCTCTTTGGGAGGCGCTGAGATTCCGGGCCCGGCGGCCGCGGGGAGCGAGTGTCTGCGAGGCGCTGGGCAACCGGCCTCCTCTCCTTTTGAGGGTTCTTTTTGTAATAGCAGCAGGTGCAACTTTTTGTATTTTAAAAACAGTGATTTTTATTTTCGTGTGGGTATGTAGGGGGACGTTATCCACCAAGCTACGCTCTATTAGGGCGCCAGGCGGGCGAAGCAAAGGCAGGGATGGCGGGCGGGGCGGCGGCGGAGGTGGAATGGGCGCTTTTTTCTTCCATCTGGCTCTATTTATTTATTTATTTATTTAGACTAGAAAAGCGAGCCGGCTTGGAGTCCGCCCGGGAATCCGAGCGCACATTCATCAGTGTCGAGAGAAAAAAAGCTACATAAATATATATTATGTGGATAAATCTGTAGACAAGAGCTCTCTCTCTCGCGCGCGCTCTCCCCGTCTCTCTGTGTGTGTCTCTTTCTCTGCTTTTTTTCCTTCTTGCACCCCCAACCTGCCAGAGCAGCCCCACAGCTCCCTCCCGCCCGGCATCTACCGCCACCCGAGCCACCTGCCAGGATGGGGCTGGGAGCGGTCGGGCAGCGGCGAGGGGCAGAAGTACCGGGAGTAGAGACTCGGGGTCCAACCCCCACCCCAGCCCGCCTCCGAAGGCGGAAGGTGGGGGTCTCCGTCCCGGGCAGCCTCCCCCGCCCGGGAGAGCGTGGCTGGTCCGCCGGCGACTGGCGGGAGGAAGGTAGGAGTCCGGCGCCCCAGCCCGCTCGCCCGCTGGAGGGGGAGGAAGGCGCTGGGCGCGGTGGCCGCTGAGCCAGCGCGGGGAACTGCTTGATGTTGCCCTCGTCTGCTTTACGGGTTCAAATAGAATAATTTTTTTAAAATCACCATCAAAAGAAAGCCCCCGAATAGCTATCTGGGTTGCAGCCGGACCGAGACTCGCGCGGCGTGCGCTGCCCCCGCGGGTTTCGTTTTCCGCACAGCTCCCGAGGTACGAGGCGGAGTCGCTCCTGCCGTGGGAAACCGGGGGTCCAGCCGCCCCGTCTGGACCCCGCCGGACTCCCCGCCAGGCCTCCCGGGGCTGGCACCTCGGCTGCGCGGGAGAGGGAGTGGCAGGCGCGGAGCCGGGAGCGGGGTCGGAGCAGCCCCGCCTCTGGGGGCGAATACTGGTGGTGAACTTGGCTTGGGTAGCATATTTTCACGTTAATGATGTTTACCTGCACCCCGTCCGCTCTCACGTTCGCTTTTTTCAGGGCAGCCTCTTCGCTTCAGAAGCCTGGCAAATTAAAATAACGCGCCCGCTCCCCCGCGGGCTGCGGGACTGGGAGCTGGGGAGGCTGGGCGGAGCGGAGCGGCTGGCCTAAGCCGCGCGGGCCCTCGGCTACTTTCGGGTTTCAGGGTTTCTCTTTTCTAGCCCTCGGATTACATTACGTTACTAGAGGATATGTTTGCAATTTTAATTAAAGAAATGAGACCCCAGCTGCCTGAAAACCCAGGCCAAACCCATTTGGTACAAGCACAATACGGAGCTCTCCAGCGCGGAAGGAGGCCCGGAGGCCCGAGGTTCTCAGCCCCAGGCCTCGAGTCGGCTCAGGACGCCTCTCTCTGAGGATCCCGGGCCCAAACCAAAGAGCAAGTATGATTTTTAGAACTGTGGAACTTCATCCTTTCATTTTAGCTTCTCCTGCCTTTGCTTGCTGGAATCGGGTGTAAGTATAGTTAATTCGTCACTTGGTTTCCCTGTCTTACGTTATCCGGTATTATATGTTGGTCTAAGAATCGACCAAGTAGATGGACTCGAACAGAAACTCACATATACAGCCTCTGCCATTTGGTGGTTGTGTATTTGGTGTGCCTGTGAAGTCCCCTTATAAGGGGGGCATGTCCCTGCTAAGCACTTGGAGAGTTTGTGTGGTTTGGCGGTGTGTGCCTGCTTGTGTGGATGTAGCTTAGGTCTGTGCACAGACCCTGCGTGTATCCACACTGCATGTGTGTGTGTGTGTGTCCCTACCAGGCTGAGACCTCCTCCTTCCAGTCCCCTAGGGCACATCAGCAGAGGCTATTAACTGTCCAAGATATCTCCTCCAATATCATCCTGTGGTGCTGCTGCATGGCTCCAACAGCTGAGTGGCATGTGTTTTCTGCCATCGGAGTTCAGGAGAGTAAATTCTGCTTGAGGTCTCTCTTTCTCTCCTTGCCGCCCCCAACCCCTGAAAGCAAAGCCCGATGGAAAGGGAAGGGGGCCAGCTAAAGGCAGCTGGAAAAGAAGGGAACTGCTCAGGGTAGAGACACTGAAGTTCACCATCCTTTTCCTGCCACCACCGAAGCCACCCCCAGGTCCAAGTAAATTATTCACAGGGGTTTAATTATTCATGTTATTAATAATAGCCAATACATAAGTAAAAGCATTCCTTGGGCAGGAGTGAGTCAGGGAGTGGGCTTGCTGTTGAAAGGGGGCACGGGCTGCTTCAGATGCTGTGAAGACTCCTCCATTCTCTGCAATGCCAATTCCCTCCAGGACTGCTCCTCTGCCCTGTGCACCACGGCCCCTCTCGTGTCTCTCCACTCATGGACTCAAAGCTGTGGAGAGCTCCTTCTTCCTTAGAGATCCCCACTCTCTCCTCTCTTCCACCTGATGATGGCTTATTTTGGATTTGGGTTATCTCCCCTTAGCAGGTGGCACAGCCCTCACCTCTCAACTTTCTGGCAGGTATATGGTGAAATGTCCTCCCTCCCAGCTTCTGCCCCAGGACGCTAAGTCCTGTCTAAATGAGCTACCCAGTGTAAACAGCAGAAGCAGCTTCTGTTGAGGCATCAGTCTCTTAAAGGTGCAGAGCTGGATCTTTTAGGCTCCTACCTTGCCTCCATAGCAGAGTTTTGGGGATAAAATAACAGGTGTCTCAGACTCATGCAATAAAAGAGCAGGAACCCTGAGAAAATAGTATGAAACATGATTAGGTTAGCTCTTTGGTATCCTCACCCTTGATATTCTAGGAAGACTTGAGTTAAAAAAATTTTTTAACCTTAGATCATCAAAGAGAAATGTAATTAGAGAAGGATGGGGCAAAGTATTACTCACCGTGACATTTAAGCAGATTTAAAACTTTCCCTCCAAGTGCCACTTCACGGCCACAATTATTTCATCCACTGAGAGAGAGGGAGAAGGCTGGCAAATGGAAGCGGAGCTTGAACAATTGCTTCTCGTTTTCTTTCTGGGTTTGGTGTTTATGTTTTGTTGCTGATTCATCTTTGGGGGTGTTAGAAAGTCCTATGGGGAGTTAAGTTCAAGTGGGCTAGCTACTCAGGCCTTGCCAGTACCTGCTCTTCCCCCTCTTCCTTTTGTTTCTCCTCTCCTTCCTCAAGGAGGGGAGGGAGCCCTCCAGCTTCCCTCCAGCTGAGCCACTGGTCACTCACCCCTCTCTGACACTCACTAAACCAGCAGCCCTGGCCACTGCTGTACAACCTCAGGCCTACTTTGGCTCCCCTGCCTGTGAATCTTCTCTTTACACCTCGATTGTGAGCTCGTGGAGGGCAAGGACCCAGTAATCTGGTCTCTTCTCCTTCTCTGCAACTCCTTCTGGCAGTGATGGGCACACAGTAGGTGCTTAAGATGTAGTTGATAGACACTAATGGCTAATCTGACTTGGAGAGTGGTGTCAACATTATATTCAAGTGGGCTCTAAGGATGGGAAGCTGCAGGACCCCAGGTGGACACTTTTAGAACAGGTATTTAGAAGACCCCCAGCAGTTCAGCTTCCTGGGGTCTGCACTGCTTGACTGCTTCACTCAGTCATTCTTGCATTCATCCATTCTTTCTGATCTCCCTCTGGAAGCAGCCGAGAAAGGACAAGCCTGCAAAAGAACTCACTGTCTAGTTAGGCCAAAGTCATACCAAGTGAAAAGCCCCAGAACAGCAAACGGCAACAGATGGTTAAATGTCTTCCAGGCCTGAGGAGTTCCACATTGGAGAAAATAGAAAACAATCCAAGTTGCCTGTGATAATCTGTGATGGGGTAGGAGCCTTAAGGAAAGAGGCAGTGAAGAAGGCAGGATGCAGAGGGAGCCAGATTGGTGGCGAGCTGGGCGATGCTGGGGATTTAAAACTAGAAGGGGAAAAAAGCAGGAAGGGTTCCAAGGTTATGTTGAGACCGTGCTGAAAACAGCTGAGATCTACATTGGGCTCCTTAACAGATAAGACCTCCAATTAAACATCTCTGTGGAGCAACTGCTCTGTCCAGACCTGCAGAGGGCAGTGAGGGCAGGCTGCAGGAAGGGAGACTCCCCTGTACTCTGCATAGTGCCCATGTGCTGTTTGGGAAAAGAAATGGACTCAGAGCTGAGTGACCACCAAGAGCACAATTCAATCGAGGGGCAGAGTGAAAAGGGCAGGCTGTGTGGGCTATGGGCCTCCAGAGAAGGTGGAGCTTGTGTGGGCTGTGGCTCTCAGGAAAGGCCTTCTGGAGGAGAGGGCCCTGCTGGCCCTGTGGGAAGGGGTGTTTCAGCTCGGGAAGAAAGGAAAGAGGTGGCCTTTCAGGTTGAAGTGGTGTTTGGAGTTGCCAGGCCTGGAGTGAGTGATGGGCTCTGAATTCTTGCATGACAGCCAGAAAGAGCAGGCTCCCATGTGGTTATCAGTTTGACAGGCAAGATGGGGCTTTGCAGGCAGCCTCAGCAGTATGGTTTTCTCCACAAACCCAGGGCGTCTCTGACTTGGAATACTTCAGGTAGGTTCAGTGATATAAAGAACAATAATTGGAGTGAGAAAGGGAGAGAAAAACCATCCCTACTGCCTTTTAGTTAATATTGGCAGCCTCCTGCTACCCAAGTAGACAA